GGAGATCTTGACTGAGTCACGCAGATGAACAATCAATCACGCCTATTAATTTATATAATTTATTTAATTCATTTTGAACTGATCCTTGAGTACCTGAGTAACAGGAGGAAGAAGAAGTCATGCATGATTACGCGCTTGCCAAACACTCCGGGATGGATCAACCAGACCAGACCAGACACCCATGCAGGAGTTGGTGACGTTGGTAGAGGCTATCACACTGCCAGGCACACCCCCTCCCCTTAAATGCACGGATACAGAGAAAGTGGAAGTGGTAGAAGAAGGGGAGATACCGGAGGACCCTGGTACAGGTACGGTTCATTATTCTACGTTGAATAAATACTTGGAATACATGGATGTCAGTTATCCATGCCCTATTCACCAGTCTGTGCTAAAAGTAGTGAACTCCAAAAACCCAGAGTGTCCAGACGTCTACCTGCGGTGTAACGAGGAACATTGCCCGGTGTTTATGCATGTGAACGAATTCAATGATTATTATAACCAATGTCAAAAGCAAGGCCATCACTGGTGGACGAAAGACAGAATTAACCACATGATATGTGAACGCAAGATGAAACCAGCCCTTTGTATGTCCAGATCAGAAAAGAACCCAAATAAACTGTATTTAAGGTGTAGAGAAAACAATTGTGATTTGTTTACCGGGTGGAAATATAAACCTAACAAGAAAACCATAGCTATTCTTACAGATGGACAGTGTTAAGAAGAGATGTGAAAACAGGAGTCTTATTTATTATAGATGAAGTGTGGAAAACGTTAGGAAGGTCTTTAGGGTTAAAAGAACGAGAACTGGATTGGCTTGAATTGATGTTTGCAGAACCTACAGAAAACGATGTGATGTCCTTTGTAAAATTTATATTGTGTTAAATTATAGGTGAGGGTGAAGTACAAAAGCTAGACGTATTATGGGTGGCACAAATGATCGCACCTTTATTCGATAAAGTCACAGTAAATAATATTGATTCCCAGTTGTTTTTTGTATTTTTAAATAACGGTTACCTTAACATTGATGTGGACTTAGGAGAAAAACTATTAGTGAGAATGGCTACAAAGATAGGATTTGAAAAACCAGACAAAATAGGGTGTATCTTATTAAAAACCCCTGCTCAATTTAAAAAGTTCTTACCGTATGTAAAAATACCTATGTACCACGGTGGGCACAGAATGACTCAAAATCGCTCGCCGTCCGCGTGACTGGTCACCATATTGGACCAGGCACTTTTTGTAGAAGACTGGGTACGAATTTATAACTCGTCAAATGACGTTTTTCAGTCTTTCCCAGAGGACTCTCTGAGGTTGGAAGCTAAATACCGGGAAGCCATCTTGGAAGAGGGATTCAAGACCTTTCGTTTGCTACCAAGCATGGGTAGGTTTCTTTGTTTTTCTAGACATCACAGTAAGGTGGGAACAGATTTTCCTCAATGAATTTGTTTCCCTTTTGTGGTTGAGAGGGAAGGGCTACAATTGTTCGAATGCTAACTCTTCATCCCTTTCCTATAACAACAATTCCGATCCAGCATTTGGCAATTGTGGGCTTCAGAAGGGTTCAACTGATAACAAGTGTATAATCTGTTCCAACAGTCTACAGGCTAAAATAGAGGAAAATGTCCATTTTCTTGAATCTAAAGTATTTATAAATAATGTTATTAAGCATTGCTCCTTTTATAGCTGTAACTCTTAAGGGTGACTTGACTTAAAGGTCACATTATTGCATATTCATTTTAATAACAACAGCTTTTTATGTATTTACACACCAGAGCATATACAGTGCATGTATATGTGGATATTGGAGTTACGTTAATGTCTGTATAAACCCGAGTGCATAGAGTACTACTAAAAATTATGGTTCTACAGAGCATAATAATATGGTACACAAATGTAAGCTCTTGCAAAGAGCAAAGAAGGGTCAGTGGTTATATATGCATAATTTCATCTTCTAATAGTGGTCATATTTTTAATTGTACAGAATTAGGAGGTTTAACATTGCTCCTTTTTTGATAAGTTAACTCTTAAGGTGTGAAGGGGTTGTGACTAATTTAAATGTCACAGAATAGTACGCACATTTTAATAGCAGCAGTGTATCTTGGTGGTCAAAGAGGGAAGAACTTAATTTAGACAGTAGTTGTTTGTACCAAGTGTTCTAATAAAATGACAAGCACAAAACACTCAAATCATGGGGATTCACCATTTTTGAACTGCAAGAAGAACAAAACACAGCATTTCATTATGTTTTGTCTCACTTTGATTATCTGATATATAATAAATTATGAAAATCAAAGTGCTCTGTGAGCAAACTCGTGAATTGACAAATTATGTTTAATGTTATCTGGTTTAGGGAATTATGTGGTTGATTGTCATATCTTGAGTACGGGCAGTAGTTCAGTATTCGCTAATGTAGCAAAGAAACAAAGTAACGTTGGGATAAGAAGGCATTACAATTGAAATGATCATGCTATTACATTTGACAAGGTGGATGATGTCTTGTGTTTTAAACATCTATCATTTTTGTTTCTAGTTCAAAAGAAAAGGTTGGAAGTAAATGTGGGTGAAAAGTGAAATTTACTGTCTTTCATTGTAAATATTAGAAAATCAAGGCAATATTGTCTTCATGAAAACATTAACGATTCCCTCTTTATCAAATGAGACAAACGGGAACGAGTTTTGAGTGATATAACTAAGCCAAGCCTGCCACCGTCATTTTGGATCTCCGCCTGGGTAGATTTAAGTCACGTACTAGGCAACGTATAATCAATAACAAGATATAATTTCATTTCAGGCCTATTTATCAATTTTGTGGTGTGTAACTTTCGCATTTTAGTACGTTGTATGTATGTAGAATTTTCAAATTGTCTTGAAACTTAAAAGAAAATTGTTCTTTAAAAATTCACTGAAGATCAGTAGCTAAAATTGTTTGTTTAGGTGTTATTTGATTTTTGTATTAACTTATAATTTCGTCAGTCGCCGGCATCTTTTGTTCCTTCACACAGGAAAAACACACGCGACAAACGTAATGATCAATTTTGTCCTCAATCTCACGCCATAACAAAAAAAGCTTTTGAACATCTGTAAACTCCGAGCGCTTCGCAGTAAGTGATATTTTCAATAAATCTTCGGATTGTTTTCAAGTTCAATGATTGTAAATTGCAATTTTATGAAAAACGAAGGTTGTTCTGTTATTTCAGTGTGAATCCTTGTATGCCTGCCAGTCGCTGGCGCTGCTTGTTCAAACTATAAATGAAAAAAAAACTCTTTTAAGATTATCACTGGCTTCTTTTTCACCCCACCACTATTCTTAGCAACAAAGGTCGCCATTTCGTCTGTTTATTGCTCGCCAAAAACTATCAAATGCACTCAAAAGCCTAAAATCTAAAAAAAGTTTACAGGAATCGACCAATCGAGCGAGCGAATGCCATTCTCCCACATCGTATCTATAACTCGCTCTTGCGCATGCGCGCAATTCACGAGTTAAAAAGGGATAATTCAAGCATTCCAGCACTGCTGCCCATTTCATGTGGGAGTGCCTACCCCGCAGGAGCTAAAACACCCAGGCATTTCCATAATTTGTTAGGTCAGTTTTACTACACTCTACTTCTTTACAACTCTATCTATCTATCTCTATCTCTATCTACAAAAAGACTGCCAAGTCTACAACAGTGGAACCCAAACACCCCACTTTACACACCTACAAGGTGTGGTGAACCTGCCACTCCCCCCTCCTCCATATAAGGAGTCATGCACTTCTGCAAGCCACTGTATATCAAAATAATCTAATTATGAAGACATGATTGATCATTGATCATTGCTTATACATACTTAAGCAGTTGTGAAATATAAGCCTGAAAAAATTAAGCCGTAAATTTCACAACTGCTTAAGTTGTGTATAACAACTGCGATGATCAATCATGTCTTCATATCTTTTTGTCAAATATATGGTCTTTTATATAGTCACTTGCATCTTCACCATCTATGGGTATATTACGAACTCACAACGTGATCAGCTCCCAGTTGGCTTGGTAGCTCAGTTGGTAGAGCACTGCATCAGTATCGCAGATGATCAATCATGTCTTCATAACTTTCTCCACAGTTCAAATATATGTTCTTTCATATATTCATTTGCATAATCTAATTATGTTAGGGAAAGCCATATGTATTCCACTCCCCAAAGTGGAAGGCAATAAAAAGTTGGCCTTTGGTTAATTTGTAAACAAAAACCTTTTTTTTCTCTTCTGATGCGATGACATTAACTTTACTGCCAGCTTTCTTCCCTGTGAGAGTCCTCTTGAAGTATTGCACAACTTCGGCTGATCTCCGGTGTAATAGCCACAGGTGACGTCACGAGTCGCTTACCATCGGACTTCGCATAAATATAACACTGATTCACGGTAATTGTGTGGTTCTCGGTAGTTCTGTGGTTCTTCAATCACTTCACTACGTGCAATACCAACCCTATCATCTGCATCAACGAGGCCCACTAATTTCTAACGAAGATTACGAGTTTATCGAAAGGTCCTCAAATGAATCTGACCATGGAACGGCTATGCAAGTGTTACGACGGTGATTGCTGGTGCGTGCTGAGGGGCAACAAGGGTAAACGTACAGGGGTCCCGTCGGCACGAGTCTAGCTCCTTGCATTCACTACCCCAAAGCAGTTCCCCGAAACGGTTTGGCCAAAGATGTTGTCTGCTAAGCAAGTGCTCCTTTTCTACCAGAAAAAGGAGGAGAAAGACCTGGAGGTAATGGCCCAGCATTGCAAAGAGCTGGATAATTATCCTATCCAGTCTCAGTAGTGCTTGAGCAAATTTATGTAGAACATAACAATGTTCCACCAGTGAAGTACTCCCTGAGTGCAAATGCCTGTGAGGCTTTTTTTCAAATTCGCAAAGCCTCAAGATAAGTTGCCAAGCACACAAAGGGCCAGCGTGGAAAAGGAAGCCAACTGCAACAATTCTAAGCGAAACAAACACGTCCTCCGCCTTACTCATAGCATGTATGTACTATATGATCGTCTGAGGAAGGCCATAAATTTGGAGACAGGGGTAACAAATCATAAAATTGCCTTGGTAACACTAAACATGGCAACAACTCTTGTCCAAAGCCTCGAGATTTACAAGGGAATTTCGCACCCGGTGAGTAATAAAATATTGCACATGTACTTGTATGACTAGTTTCTTTGCTTGCTCTTATCGGTTATAAAGCTTTGTTTTCTTTCCAGTAGTTTTCATACCCAAAAAAGTCTTCTGGGGAGGAGGGGAAGCAACATCTCTAGAACCACACACTCATTTTTGGGGGTATTAATTTTGGCATTTGAACGGACCAGGTTTACAACTGTAGCAACATCAATAACTGCAAGTTCAGTACTGTACTTACAATTTAAGAGTACAAACGAAAACTTCTCCTGTGCTAACATTGTATCAAACTCTTGGTCATGGAACGAGGAAGCCAACATGCATGCCCCTTGGCCATTAGCAGAAATGGACTTCACCAGAATTACTCTATTTTTGTAAAAATTTTTATGTGCCCAGTCTTCCATGGTGTCAGAACTTAAAAAAGAAATTCATTTTTAAACCTCCCTGAGTTCCCTTACATGGATGAATTAAGAGAGAAAAGGTATTTGCCATTTACCAGACCATGAAAATATAAACTCCAGCTCAAAGTAAAATAATTTTAACTTATGGCGTTTTTAAATTTACCTTTATCATTGGCCAGCAAATTTAATGGCTCTGCTAAGGTGATAAAAGCGGGTGTGGCAAATGAGAATGTTACCCTTGAAATCTTAACTGTGAAAGGGCCATACACAACTGCCCGCGGCATCTACACAAGCTTTTCCTCGCACTGCCGTCCAAATGTCAATCTGGTCCAAAAGTCCATGCAAGATCTGGCAGCTGTTGGTCTTGGCATATTTAAAGTCATTAACAAACTGAAAATTTTTTTTATAAAATGCTGCCCAGTGATGACCTTCAGCAGAAGCTGGCCAAATATAACATCTCTGTGCAAGAATACAGAACAACATTCCTGAAGGATGATGACAAGCTTACTGCAAGCAATATCTTCACAATGTCAGGGGGTCATCCATTTCAAGCTGAACTCAATGCCTTTAGAGAGAGAGCAACATTGCCACCACTGCTTTAGCTAAAAAGAATGTTGAAATAATACTGTTACATGAAATTATTATGAACAACTTTAATAGAGATTTAATTGAGAGAAATTGAGAATACTTGTACCTTTCAATAGATATTAATTTGAGGGAAACTGAGAATACTGTGAAATAGACATTTATAAGAGAAATTATGGAAGACATTGTGTAGATCTAGAAAATATCCGTACTACCCCCACAGAAGGGATTGGAAATTCCAGGACAAGAGGGTAGGGTCTCAGAGACCCAAAAATTAAAGCAATGTATGAAGCTAAATTGGAATTTCCAGAGGCTTGATGGGGTTATAGGGAAGATGCCTTTCACACTGGGGATATAGATATTTTCTGGAACTACACATTCACTTGAGAGAAAATATTAATACCTGTAAATTGAGACATTTAATTGAAAGAAATTATGAACTTCCTTTGAATAGAAACTGAGAAATTATAAATACCAAAAAATTGAGACATGTTAGAGAAAGAAAGTAAAGACATTTATTTAAAAGAAGAAAGTTGAATACCAAAAAAAAAATATTTGTCATAAAATGTTACAGTTTTAAAATATGTTTGAATAATACAATGCAGATACCTGACACTTAACATGTTATTCATTACAGATTATTTCTTGCTACCAACACATTCTTCTAGCAGGTATGGCCATTTGAAATCCCATTTATACAGTTGTGGTTGTTAAATTGAATCTTTGCTAAAATTGAAACAAGCATAATTGAAATAATTAAAGATTTTTTTATTTAAGTTAGGCGTAGGAGCAGCCCAAGATGTTGAGAGCCACCAAAAGATACACAACTTTGGTAAACACTTCATTTCTTGAGATAAAACTGCAAATTCATCAACCCGTTCGACACACACTCAATCTCTGACTAATGGGAAATACCGCTGGCGAAGGTATGTGTGCCTGCTTGCTGTTTACTTCCGCTTGAACCGGATATGAAAAAAATTACGTGGAACCACGAGAACCAAGAGAACCAGAAGAACCAAGAGAACCAAGAGGACAGTGAAAACCACGAGAACCACGAGAACCGAGAAAACCAAGGGAACCACGAGAACCACAAGAACCAGAAATACACAATTAACGCTACTAAGAGTTTTATTATGTGAAGTCCGATAGTATAAGAACCACAAGAACCAGAGAACTACCAAAAAAACTACACAATTACTGTGACTCAGTGTTACATTCATGCAAAATCTGATAGTGAGCAACTCATGACATCAGCTGTGGCTATTACATCGGAGATAAGCCACAACTTCCCACTCCGTCAGGCCAGAAAGAATTGAAAGCAGCTGTTTGACGGGTCTTAATAAAGAAAAGGAAATTGTTCGTGCCTTTTTGTTGGTGCTAAAGACACGAATGGCTCAGCAAAGCCCTCTGTAGACTTAGTTACTCTTAGTAACACGCAATTTTTTTATTTTTAAGATTTTACTTATAACCTACAAGGCACTTAACAACCTGGCACCGTCGTACATTTGTGATCTGCTTACATCTTACACCCCATCGCGTCAACTACGCTCATCATTCAAGCACCTTCTGGTTTCTCCATCCTATAACTTGAAAACATATGGCGCAAGATCCTTTTCTGTAGCAGCACCATCATTATGGAATGCTTTGCCAAGTGAAATTAGAAATGCTCAGTCTGTGTCTGTTTTTAAACGTAGATTAAAAACTTTACTCTTTAGAAAAGCCTTTTATAATTAATATTAGCTGTCTTAAGTGTTAATGTTTAAGTTTTTTTTCTTGTAGGCGCCTTTGAACAGTAGGATACTGGCGCGGTATAAATCTTTTATTATTATTATTATTATTATTATTAAAAAACCTCGTAGGGAATGTCTCAGACAATTTCACTTTGGAATGGGTTCCTCACCTGTCGTCGTACGGCAAGACGTCTGTGAATGGCCTCCAGCTATAACCTGGACTCCGACCTCATGATGGTACCCACTTGAATCTGGGTGTTAAGGATCTGGGAGGCTTTTACAGGTAAACCTGCAACTCTTCGATGACTAAGGTCGTATAGTGGGACAAGCATTGACATGCCAGTGTCGACAAAAAAATCGACGTCTATGCCAGCATCTCCAGCCCCCTTTAGGCACTCTTTAATTCTTTTGGTCAAAGTGACCTCTTCATTTGCTTCTTCTTCGACATCAACGTCCATTTCTTTGTCCCTTACAACCATTTCGAGCACTTCTTGTACTGAAAAATTAGCCACCATTTGAAATTAGGCGCCAATGCTGCAGATAACCGCTGAACAAAATAAATGGCGAACTTGAGCGATTTTGAGTCACCCTGTGCCCACTGTGTACTGTAGTCGTAATTCCAAGTATTGTTGATTTTTGTAGATGACCTTGAGATTGCGAGGAAACTAGGGAAAGCGTCACAGTATTTATTAAAGACACAAGATTATGTGGAAAGTGCTTGATTACTAGGAATGTCTACGTTCCCTACATTAGGTGGTTGCTTAGGATTGTCTGATAACGAGTTAGAGGATATAGCACATGATGTAGAATTCTTAGAGGATCACATGGATCACATTGACGAACAAAGAGCATCTAGAAATTGAACGGTTGATTGGAAGTGAAACAAAGCTAGAAGAACTCACTAGAGCAGATCATGTCGAGCTGGCTTGGTTACTAGGAATGTCTACATTCTGCAAATTAGCTAGAAGAATGGGGATGTATGGAAAAGAGATAGAATGTATTGCTCGTCGTGTACAATTTAAGATGGATCAATAAAAGTAACAGTAAAACCTATTTGTCTCATTATATGTCTACATCATGGGGAGATGCAGCAAAAGAAAACAAAACCAACAAGGGGGTGCTTCTATTTGTAAAGTCAATAGAATCCTATGTCGAGGCCCTTTAACGACAGATAAGATAGCTTATGTCCCAACCATGCTTTTGTCTGGGCCTGCACCGGGGTTTGGGAAACTTGGAAGCTTATTGGGGAAACAAGTATTCAAAGGTGTCATGGATAATGTGAAACATTATAAGAAAAGGCGACAATAACTTTTGGGGGTAGATCAACATGCCTCTGTGGTGGAGACGATGTCTACGATACTTTCATTATCACATGATCGCATACCTTCGTTATAAAATTGAAAACACGGTCTATACAAAGAAAGACAGAATTCTTTACAAATGGGTTCCTCAAAGTTGTGACGTGATGTTGTATGAATATCTCGTAAGACCCAAAGTCTATCCATTCCCGGATCGGATTTTTCATCTCATGGTATTAATGAGAGTTTATAGGGGAAAGTATACATATACGCATACCTTCGTTGTAAAATTGAAAACACGGTCTGTACAAAGAAAGACAGAATTCTTTACAAATGGGTTCCTCAAAGTTGTGACGTGATGTTGTATGAATATCTCGTAAGACCCAAAGTCTATCCATTCTCGGATCGGATTTTTCATCTCATGGTATTCATGAGAGTTTATAGGGGAAAGTATACATATACGACATGGAATTATTTGTATACACAGTACCTTTCCAAGTATTGGATCACGTACTTCTGTGTTAGACTATCGTGTTCATTGCTCCTTCTTGAAAGCTTTGAAAAGATATCATGTCTAAGAAAAAGAAGAGAAAAGAATCTGCAGACTACGAAACACCAGGTGTGGTCAAAAGATTAGGTGATGTTGCACTGTATGCAAAAGCTCAAAGAATCTCTACTTCTCAAGCCAGGAAAGAGTTAGAAAAAATTTAGCGTATACCTTATACAAACCTAGACGGCAGTGTGGTGAATTCTTACCTGTCCTGGTCTATGACACCGACGAACAATGGGTCGCGGATTTGAACGAATTGCAAGCCATTGCCAAACAGAATAAAGGGTATCGATACATGTTGGTGGTGATCGATGCCTTTTCAAAATACGCATGGGCACAACCAATTAAAAAGAAAACGGGAAAAGAGGTGACGGAAGCCTTTGCTAGAATTTTAAAAGAAGCCCTAGGCAGAAAACCTCAAAAGTTAGAGATAGATGCAGGAAAAGAATTTTACAATGGTAAATTTCAAGAGTTTGTAAAGTCACATGGAATTCATCACTTTTCTACACATGGAGATGCCAAAGCCAGTGTGGCAGAAAGATTTATCCATACCTTGAAATCCAAATTGTACCGATATTTCACAGCCGCCAATACCTTGAAATATGTGGATGTGTTTCCAAAACTGGTGGATCAATACAACCGCACCTTTCATCGGAGTATTTAAACCACCCTTGCCAAAGTCACTCCAGCTCAGAGGGAAGAAGCATGGAATCATTTGTCAGGTAAATGTCAGAAGAAAAAGAAACCTGTATTTGAAGTAGGAGATAAAGTACGATTGAATAAAAAATTTCGTATGTTCAAGAAAAGTTATTTACCGGGTTGAACGGAAGTGTTTGAAATTCGTAAAGTGGTGCCTGGATTTGTGACGAACTATAAAGTACGAGAATTAGATGACACACCTCTCCAAGGCACATTTTATACGTGGGATCTACAAAAGGTCCACGTAGACGTATTTGCGAGTGGAAAGAGTATTAAAGAGGCAGAAGGATAAATTGTTGGTCAAGTGGAAAAGATACCCTAGCAAATATAACAGCTGGATTCAAAAGAAAGATTAAGAGTAAAGCTTGTCCTGGTACAGGACAAATCATTATTGGAGGAAGTCTAAGACGGTTTAAAGTCTATCTACCTGCAGGAGAAAAGTGGGGGGTACCCTTATGCGTTGGAATGCCCCACCACCTTTAATTGGAAGTTGGGGTGGTTCCCAAACGGGTGCTGGTGTGAAAGATATGGTACAAGATGTGGCCAAAGGTGTAGGAGGAGGGGTTAAAGAGACGTTCACCAAAGCATCTCCATCAGAATTACCACATGGTAATGTTATGGTATTTTCTCAACCACCAGAAAGATACAACTCGTACCAACTCAACTACTTTATTAGCTGACGTAATAACCTTACTACGGAGCGGTACCAATAACTAGCACAATAACTATTCACTTATCTTAGAGCCCTCTATAAAACTATAATCTCAGTGCACTACTGCACAACTCACAGTTCTCTTCGAAGATCCTTGAAACTTACCAATATCCACACAACTCTTCTCCAACGTAGCCTTCCACACGGTTGACAATTCCAATAACGACAAAGAATCCCAACGGTTCATGCTCACCGGTTCTGTACTAACACTAGCTCTCAAAGAAAGGCTCACTCAAGAAAAGGCTGACTTTAACTAATCACGACTCCTTATATATGTTTTACAAAATGTTCTAGAACATTCCAGGGATCTGTAATACAACTATTTTTAGTAACATTACATTGCTATTACATAATAAGAAATTATGCCGACTAAGGGTTCTAGAAGGTTCCGTTAAAAGTTCTCAATGAGTCAGCATGACTAAGCGTTCCAGGAACTTCCTCAAATCTATATTTAGTAATTCTGTAACACAACACACTCTCCATAACAGTTTCCACAAGCCTTTAAAAACGAAACAAAGAGAGGAGTGTCTAAGAAACTCGACGATATTTTTGGGGAATAATGGTTTGTATCGGGATTGTAAAACAAGGGAGCCCACACATCGGTCTCGGAACCTCCACACCTACGGATGTGGTATCAACTATTTTACGAAGGTATTAAGGAGGGAGAAAAAGAAAAGACCAACGAGGTGGCTTTTTACGTATAAAGAAAATCATACTGTGCCGACGAGTTCAGAAGCACAGAAGATGCTGAATCAGTCACATTACCATGTCTATCAAAGGAGCAGAGTTGAATCCTGGTTTAAATTTGTTCCGAACACCACCAACGGATGTGTCTATGGTGAAATACCGATATGTGAAAATATCACCTCAGACTTCCAGTATTACTCCTATTGAAATATACATTGATAGACAGTCGGATCCAGTGGAAGTTTTGTGGAAATAGAAGTGGGTTTCAAGACTAAAGGAAAAGCCAATCTCACTTTGTGTGCTGACAATGTGGGGAACTTACTGTTCCCAGCTAATAATTTGGCTCACACCTTGTTCAAACAGATCAATTTTAAGGTGAATGGAGCCTTACTCACCGAACAAGTGAACATGTATCACCTGAAAGCTTATTTTCAGGCTCTTCTGAATTATGACCGATACAATGGGGAGACCATTTTGCAGACAGCCAGGTGGAGGAACGAGATAGATTCTCCCGCTACTTACACAGATACCAATGTCAAGAACAATGAAGCCAATTACAGAGCCTTGTCTGCTGGTCACAAAGAAAGCATGTGGAAACAGAAAGCAGATGCCCGAGACAATTATGTGGGTGGACAGAGAAGAATGCTGAGAATGAAACCATTCATAGATGCCTTCTACTAAGGAAGATGGATTGCTC